TTCTGAGGCTGTAAATCTTTACAGGAGCAGAAAGCCTCATCTTTCTCCTGCGGAACAGCTGGTAGTTTCAAACTGCTGACCTTGTGGCTCGCAGCCTGATTTGTAACCACTACACTACCAGAGCTCCCTGTAGGCACATGGATATTAGCCTATCACAGACAGCATTGTACCTCATGACAGATCTTGATATGTTCTTTTTGACAATGAATGCAACACCATTCCTCTTCAATTTATCATTCCATGCATAGTAAACCATGTAGTTGTCAGATTCAAAATGGCCAATACCAGTCCATTTCAGCTCAGCAATGTCTAAGGTATCCATGTTCATGTGTTCCATTTCCTTATTGACAATTTCCAATTTTCCTAGATTCATACTTCATACATTCCATGTTCCAGCTGTTTCTCTTCATTTTGAGTTGTGTCCCATCAGTAAATGAAGGTCCCATGGGCTTTTCTCCCATGAGCTTTACTCCATTGGCATTATCACGGTCAACTCTACTTTGGGGAGGCTTCTCTTCCCCAGTTGCATTTTGAGTGCCTTCCAACCTGTGGGGCTCATTTTCCAGTACTATATCTGACAGTGTTTCTCTGCTATTCATAAGGTTTTCATTGATTAAATATTTGGAAGTAGTTCATCTCTTCTTCTTCCTAGTCTGTCTTCATCTGGAAGCTCATCTGAAACCTGTCCACCATGGGTGATCCTGCTGGTATTTAAAATACCCGTGGCATAGCTTCCAGAATCACAGAAACTCACAAGCCACCACAGTACAACAAACTGACAGACACAGTGATGGTTGTCCATCTTATTTACCCCATATTCCCAATGCCTGGCACAGTTCTGGCTCAGAGCAAGCCCTTGGTAAATACTTGTTGGATAGATGAATGGGTTGGATGGATTCATGGAATGATGAAATGATAGATAGATGGAATGATGGATGGATGGATGGTTGGCTGGATGAATAGATAAATGGATGGATAGACAGATGGAGGGATGGAATGGTAGATGGATGAATTGAATGAATGAATGGGTGGATAGAAAGGTGGTTAGATGGATAGAATGGTGGATGAATAGATGGATGATTGGGTTGGTAAATGGGTAGATGAATTGATGGAATGCTTTTTGTTTTATTAGGTGCCATCAAGTCTGTTCTAACTCGTAGTGACCTTATGCACAACAGAATAAAACACTGCCTAGTCCTGAACCAACTTCATAATCACTCTTAGGATTGAGTCCATTGCTGCTGACATTGTGCTATTCCCTCTCATGGGTGGGGTTGGGAGTGGGGGCGAGTCTTGCTCATTTGCATTGATCATCCACTTTACTAGTTGGGTATGATGTCCTTCTCCAAAGATCGGCCACTCCCAATAATATATCCGAACTATAAGAGACAAAGTCTCACCATCCTGGCTTCTAAGGAGCATTCTTGCTGTTCTTCAAACAAAGATTTGTTTTATCTTTTGGCAGTTCATGGTACTTTTAATTTTATTCTCCAACACCATAACTCAAATGCATCAATTCTTCTATGGTCTTCCTTATTCATTGTGCAATTTTCACATGCATATGAGGCTATTGAAAATAGCATGGCTTGAGTCAGGCATACCTTAGTCCTCAAATTGACATCTTTGCTTTTTATAGAGGTCTGTATAGCAGATTGACCTAATGCAGTGTGTTATTTGATCTCTTGACTGCTGCTTCTATGAGTGTTGGTGGTGGATCCAAGCAAAATGAAGTCTTTGACAATTTAATTTTTTTTTCTCCAGTTATCATTATGTTATTTATTGGTCTAGTGGTGAGAATTTTTGTTTCTTTACATTGAGGTGTAGCCCATCTGATGACTGTGATCTTTGATCTTCATCAGTAAGGACATCAAGTCCTCTTCACTATCAGCAAGCAAGGTTCTATCATCTGCATATTACAGGTTGTTAATGAGTCTTCTTCCAATCCTGATGTCACATTCTTCTTCATACAATCTAGCATCTTGGATTATTTGCTCAGCATACAGATTGAATAAGTATGATGAAAGAATACAACTCTGGAGATTTACAGCCTCGGAAACCCTATGCAGGGTTGCTATGAGTTGGAATTGACTCCACGGCACATAACCACTACCACCATTGGTACTTGATTAAAAAACGAGATCAATGGAAGAGACTAGAAAATCCAGAACTCAAACCAGGGACATTATGTTAACACATGATAAAAATGACATCTCTAGTTAGCCCTTGCTGACAAGTCAAGAAGACTTTGAACTACTGGATTGCAATCTAAAAAAAAAAATACCAAGTTTGATTCCTACTATCAACTGTACACACAAAGCATGTACACTAGAACAAGGTCCAAATGAACCCAAGATTTAAATGTAAATAAGAAAAGGGAAGGAAAAGAAACAGTAATGGCAATTCAAGAAATATGCATGAACAGACAAAGAGCATAAAGAGACCGTTCTCAAAAAATGCAACATAAATGACCCTGTTCTTCTTGTTAAGTGACGTCGAGTTGGGTCTAACCCACAGCGACCCTGTACAGGGTTTCCAAGAAGTGGCTGGTGAGCTTGCACCACCGACCTTGCTGTTTAAACTGACTTTGCAGTCTGGTACATTAAGCCACAGCACCACACCAGAACTCCTAATTTGCCCTAAAACATGTGAAAATAAAACCAACCTAATTATGATTAAAGAAAGCAAATGAAAAGTAAAAAAAAAGAAAGAAAGAATATAACTCTGACACACACCTTCACACCTTTCCTAATTTTAAACCATTCGGTGTCCCCTTGTTCTGTTCGAACTGCCTCTTGCTCTATGTACAGGTTCCTCCTGAGCACAATTAATTCTCTGCAATGTTGTTCATAGCTTGTCATGATCAACATAGTCGATAGCCTTTGCACAGTCAATAAAGCACAGGTCAACATCTTTCTCGTACTCTCTACTTTCAGCCAAGATCCATCTGACATTAGCAGTGACATCCCTTGTTCCACATCCTCATCTGAATCTGGCTTGAATCTTTGGCAATACCTTGTCAATGTACTATTACAGCTGTTTTGGGATTATCTTTATCAAAATTTTATTTGCTTGGGTGGATGAATGGATGATAGATGGATGGATGGAAGGGTAGAGAGATGGTGGATGGATGAGTAGATGGATGGATGAATGAGTGCATGGATGAACGAATGGATATTGGATGGAATGGTAAATGGATGGTGAATGAATGGATGATTATGTAAATGAATAAATGGGTGATGGATGGAATGGTAGGTGGATGATGAATGGATGGGAGTTTTGATTCTGGATATCAAGTGACCAGGAAAGGTCTCCCTGATCAATGCTTTTGGAGTAAAGAAATGGAAAAGATGAGCATGTGAGCCATGGGACCGTCTGGGGGAAGAGTGTTACAGTAAAGGGCCCAGCATGAGCAAATGTCCTAGGGCGGAGACTTGCCCAAGTGAGGTCAGCCAGAAGGCCAGAGTAGAGTGAGGAAGCTAGAGGTGAAGTAGAGGGATTGGATCACCAGCACCCAAGGGAACATTGTACAATGTAGGCTTACAGACAGAGTCAGGCTGCAGGGCTAGGGAAGGGTGATGACAGGTGATTTCTGGAGATGTTTGGAAGCAGGTGGGCAGGATTTGCAGATGGATGTGGGTGTTTGAGACAGAGAGACAGTAAGGGCAATTCCAAAGACTCAAGTGGGTGCAAGGAAGGAATGGTCAGCAGTCAGGGTGAGGAGACTGAGGGATGGAAGGTGAGGGATTCTGGTTTGGATGTTGAGTTTGTAATGCCCACCAGATTTGCAGGTGGGAAAGGCGATAGGAGAATGGATAATAGAATTCTGGAGTTCAGGGTATCCAGACTGGCTCCCACCCATTCCTCCATGGACAAGACTCCTGCCTAGGCTAATAAGGTCCTCCCAGGGGTGTCCTCAGTGGACATGTCTCAGGCTGTCCCCATCTCTGTAGTATTAAGTTAGGGACTCCTTCCCTTCAGAGTCCACGGCACTCCCCTCCCCATCAGCCACTCTTCCCCCTCCTTTGCCCAGTCACTTACTTTGGGCCCATCTTTCCCATGAGCTGTCTTTCCTTCTCACTCATTATCCAGTCCCCCCATCTCATGCTGAGCCCCAAACCCCTGTACCCACTGCTGGTCAGATGGGCTTCCCTTCCCTCCACCACTCGATGATCCATCGATACCTTGTTGATTCAGGTCCAAGCTCAGCGGCTCCCATGCCAGACATGCTTTTTCTATAGCTCAGACGGTACATTTACCTCCTCCCTGGCTGAACCTGAGGTAGCACTGGGCACCACCTTTCCCCTGCCCAACACCAACTGGACACTAGTCCCAGTATTCTAGACACCCCTCCGTCTGCAGCTGTCTGACTCTGGGCTCTTTGTCTCACCACCCCACAGATCCCGAAGAGCACCTATGAGCTGCCCAAGGAGCAGCAGCTGCTTGAGATCATTAAGAGGTATAACCGCCGGAAGGCCGAGGTGAGTCACACGTGGCCCTGCCTTTTCAGACCACCATCTTGGGGCTGGGGTGGGTGGGTAGGAGCACCCACCCTGGCTGCCCAGCTGATTGTCCTCAGGGTGGAATGAGGTCATGGGTCAGATCACCCATAATGCAACTGGACTCTCAGCCGCCCCCCCCCCCCACTTCCCCAGGACTATCAAATCCCCACAGCATCACAGAGCAGAGGGCCTCTGTGCTGAAGGCTTCATGGGCGATGGAGAAGGGGGTGAGGTGGGGAGGAGGAGGAGGCAGACAAGGGAGGACAGGAAGGGAGCAGGGACGAGGTGTGGAAGCTGATGGGGGAAGAAGAGGGACTGCAGAGAGGGAAGAGGGTGGATGACAAGGACCACCAGGGAAGGAGGAAGAGCTGGTTGGTGTCTTCATCCCCTAGAGTGAGGCCGCACCTTGTGTCTCTGCAGGAACGTCTGCTGAAGGCAAATGTGAAGGAGCTCCACTGTGCCACGCCCAGGTCCCGGGAGGAACCCCTGAAGCAGGTAAGCCCGGGCCTCCACGGGGACCTGCAGGCAGGAGCAGGCCCTCACGTTTTACAACAGTTCTTCAGAAGCCACATCCACCATCAGGGACCACTGAGGGGCAAGTGTCCAGTGATGATGGGATAGTACAGTGGGCAGGGTAGGTGAAGGCAGGTGTAGATGGGACAGGTATAAAGGCAGACAGGTGTAGAGGTGGATAGATACCTGTAGACAGGTGCAGGTATAGATGGGGGCAGGTATAGAGGTGGGCGGTGTAGAGGTTGATAGACACCTGTAGACAGGTGCAGGTATAGAGGTGTAAAAGGAACAACTGTAGAGGTGGCAGGTTTAGATGTACCAGGTATAAATGGGGGCAGGTGAAGAAGTGGGCAGGTGTAGATGGGGTGGTGGTCGTTATGTGCCGTGGAGTCGCTTCCAACTCATAGCGACCCTGCATAGCATTTCCAAGGCTGTAAATCTTTACGGGAGCAGAAAGCCTCATCTTTCTCCTGTGGAACCGCTGGTAGTTTCGAACTGCTGACCTTGAGGTTCGCAGCCTGACTCATAACCACTACACTACCAGAGCTCTTTTGTAGATGGGGTCAGGTGTAGATATGGCAGGTATAGGTGAGGCTAGGTGAAGAGGTAGGTAGGAGTAAGTAGGGTAGGTGCAGAGGCAGGCAGGTGTAGGTGGGGACAGGCCCAGAGGTGAGCAGGTGGAGATGGTGGAGATGGAGAGGTAGGTAGATGCAGACAGACGCAGGTGTAGATGGGGATAGGTGTAAACAGGGCAGGGATAGACATGGCAGAACCTTAGCCTGAGTCCAGCGAGCCCTGCCATTTCACTGCTCCCCTTCTGGCAGGTCACCACTGCAGCAAGATGCAGAGGCTGTTGGGACCATGTGCAGGTGGGTGGGATAGGAACGCTGGAGTGTGGCTGAGTCAGGACAGAAGAGTGATCAGGCCCCTGGGATTACTCAGCCTGCCACTCACTCTGCTGAGGTTTGGGGGCTCCTGTCGGGCACAGATGCCAGGCTGCCGTCTCTACTCTGACCCTGCAGGGCTCCAAAAGGCCTCAGTTCCAAGCGCCACCCCGGATCCGCAGGACACCCAAACTGACCTTCTACAAGGTAAGGGACACATAGACCATCCAGGTGGCTGTGGGCGCTGGGTCCATACCCTTCTCCCCCAGTGCCCACCTATGTGCCTGTTTTGCTCTGAGCCTGGATAGTTGGGGATGGGGAACCTGAGGCTCCCACGTCAGGTCTACCACTTGCAGAGGGCAGACGTGGAGGGCAGGAACTAGACAGTCAGCTCCTGTGCTCTCCCACAGCCCAGCAATAGCCCAGTCAAGCTGAACACCACGGCCATCTTACGAGAAGGGGCTCTGTACCAGCGGCAGGTGGAGAAAGAACTGCAGAGGTGGGGCTGTGATCGAGTGAGGCCAGGACCCTCCCTGGGGGCTGCTGTACCTTGGGCAGCTGCTCACAACCCATATGTGGTGGTGGTGGTGGTGCTGGCGATGGGGGGATTCCAGAGGCGGTGGGAGCAGGAATTTGACAGACCGAGAGAAGGCACAGAGCACAAAGAGGGTTCAGAGACTGTGATCCTGCGAGGGTGGGGATGCCAAGCCGGACAGGGCCAGAGTCCCATGTGTATTTCACAGAGATGGTCCAGCTCAGTGCAGGCGATGGACCGGGGCTGGAGACTGAGCCAATATCTGCCCTGCAAAAATCCTGCCCCAGAGGGGCACTGTGGAGAACCTCTTCCCAAACCCCGGAGCACACCCAGGCCATCTCTGTGCATTGGTTGTGGCAGGAAGCTGGGTGGCTAGGGGTGGCGATGGACACTGGGCTAGCAGGTGGGCAGATGTAGTGGATGGACAGAGGAATGGTGGGTAGACACAGAGGTATGGATTGACATAGGAGTGGTTAGAGAGATGGAAAGATGGTGGGCAGAGGGATGTTGATGGACAGATGAGTGGGTAGAAAGAGGGACAGATGATGGACAAAGACATGGTGGATGGGCAGATGAGTGGATAGAGAGATGGACGGAGGAATATGGATAGGGAAATAGGTAGACAGGAATGGTGGATGGATAGAAGGCCGAGCAGAGGGGTAGTGGATGAACAAACAGGTGGAAAGAAGGATGGCAGATGGACAGATGGGTGGAAAGTGTGATGATAGTGGACAGATGGGTCAACAGAGATAATGAATGGGCACGAGCTGATGGATGGACAGACACTGTGTGAGGAACGGCAGACGAGTTGACACAGGGGTGGTAGATGGAAAGCTGAGCCGACAGAGGGGTGGTGGATGAAGGAATGGTGACAATGGGCGGTGAGGGTGGGTGAGGAGGCAGGAAGCCCACACCTGTGAAGGCCTGGCAGGGCTCCCTAGGCAAACGCAAGCCCTGACCACAGGGACAGCACCATGTCATGCCGCTGGGCCCTCTTCTCCAGGGTTGACAAGCTTGTGGATGGGGCGGGGGACTTCTCCGAGTTCCTTGAGTGGCAGAAGAAGATGCAGGAGAAGGACCAGGAGGAGCAGCTGGCCGCAAAGGAGTGCCGGAGACTGCAGGGGAAGCTGAGCCACGAGGAGGCCATCCTAGCCCGGCAGAACCTCAGGCGGGACAACAAGCAGAAGGTGGACCAGAAGAAGGAGGAGGTGAGGGGGCAGTGCACTGGGCCACTCAGCTGTCTGACCTCTGAGCCGAGGCCCCCAGGGAAGCCAAATGCTCAAGCCTGGGCAGCTGTGGTCGCTAGCTTGCAGGTTGACCCCGGGGTCATTTCCTCCAGAGACTCGGAGAGCAACAATAGATTCCTTGTCCCGCCTGAATCAGTTAGACTGAGTGTACCTTCTGACCAGCACTTCTGGCCTCTGTTGCACTGCTGTTCCCCACCGGCAGAGTTGGTTGGTCCATACACACCTGGGTGTTCCTCAGGGAATATTTATGGTTCTGGAAAAAAGTTCCAGAAGCTGACATGTTTAGGTGTGGCGTCCTCTCATTCTGAAAGGTTTGTGGAGGCCCACTTTACTAATTAGTAGTGCTCTGAAGACAGTCGGCCCAGGTGGGCGCTGGTCTTCCCAGTGAGCCTCACACTGACCTGGTTGAGGAGGGAGCCCGCTGGACCTCCTCAGCTCAGATGTGTGGCTGTCGGTCCTGTGACTGCATTCCTCTGAGGACAGACAGCCAGGGACACACTAAAGCACAGGTGGTTAATTTCTTGTGAAGGCTCATTTGTGTCTGTATCCTTTTGTATTCAGTTTAAGCTTGCCTTTTCCTTCCTTTTGGTTGGGACCACCTCATCATGACCCCATGTATAACAGAGCAAAAGAGTACCTGGTCCGGCGCTATCTGTGTTTTAGCCCGTTGTGGTAGCCACTGTGTCGGTCCATCTTATTGGGGGTCTTCTTTATCACTGACCCCTTAACTTTGCCAAGTATGATGGCCTCCTCCAATGACTGGTCCCTCCTGATAACATGTCCAAAGTTTGAAAGACGAAGTCTCACCATCCAGGCTTCTAAGGAGCATTCTGGCTGCAAGCTGCCGCTCTTGTCTCCTGCCGGTCTCCTGCTTCTGTTGACATTCGCTGCTGTAGCTTTTCTGCCGTCTCCTTTTCTCTGGTGTCACATCTCGCTGTCTGCTGGATCCAGCAGGTCCAACACAGAGGTCTAAAGGTTGTGCTTTATTTACTCCGGGCTTTTCTTGCTTTATGGTAATGAGATGCCCTTTTCTGCCTCTGAGATGGCTCATTTTAAACCTAATGGATAACAAACTTGATCAATCCCCATGTTAGGGTTCCATATCCCTTATTTGCAACTTTGGACATATTGTCAGGAGGGACCAGTCACTGGAGAAGGATATCATGTTTGGTAAGGTGGAGGGTCAGTGAAAAAGAGGAAGACCCCAGTGAGATGGATTGGCCAAGTGGCAGCATCGATGAACTCAAGCGTGACAACAGTAGTGAGGCTGTCCCAGGATTGGGCAGTGTTTCGTTCTGCTATGCATAATGTCGCTACGGGTCAGTAATGACTTGATGGCACCTAACAACAACAACAACAAAACCCCATGCAAGTCCTAGGATAAGCACTAGACTGCTAACCACAAGGTCAACAATTCAAACCCACCAGCCACTCCTTGTAAACTCTATTCAGGGTCACTATGAAACAGAACTGATTCAATGGCCCTTAACAACAACACCCCTCCACACGCGTTCCATATGCCTTATTCACATTATTAACAAGCTATCCAGTCCCCTTGGTGGGCCACGAACACCTCACATCTGCATAGCCCTACCTAGTCATTCCACCACTCCTCTGTCAGTTTGTGCTACTGTGGTGGTTTGTGTGTTGTGATGCTAGAAGCTATCCTGCCTGGATTAAGGTCAAGCCTACTTTGAGGAGTCAGCTCTTTTCCAGTCATGTTTTGAGAGCCTGGCTACCTGTGAGGCTTGTCTTTCAGCAGTATATCAGAAAATGTTCTCTTGCTATCCATAAGGTCTTCAGGAACTAGCCATTTAGAAGTGGTCCAACTCTCCTACTTCCCAGTCTGTCTTAGACTGGAAGCTCTGATGAAACCTACCCACTATGGGTGACCCTGCTGGTATTTAAAATATTGGTGGCTTCACTTTTTTTTCTCTTTAAATACTAGCAAAGTCACCCATGGCAGGCAGATTTTGTTGGAGTTTCCAGACTAAGACAGACTAGGAAGAAGGAGAGACAAACCACTTCTGAAAGGTTAGCCACAGAAGACCTTATGAATTGACGGATGTAGTGCAGGGAGATGAGTTCTTCAGGTTAGAAGACACTCAAAATATGGCCGGGGAAGAGTTCCCGCCTCAAAATAGAGTTGATCTTAATGCTGTCGATGGAGCAAACCGTTCAGGACCTTCACTTGCTGCTGAAGCACAAGTCAAAATGAGAAGGAACATCTGCAAATTTCCACTGATAATCAGAATGTGGAATGTACAAAGTATGAATCTAGGAAAATTCAAAGTTGTTAAAAATGAAATGGAATGCAATTTGATGAACTTGATCTATACTTATGGATGTAGTAGCTCAAAATACCAACTGAGAGGGAAGGAATTTGCACATCAAGGATCATCCCCATCCCCTCGGTACCCAGAGTTGATAGGGATGGCCATCTTAGACATTGGCTCCCTAAAATGGGGTGGGAGGCTGTAAGGCACAAAGTGACTGGCTTACAAGTTTTCAAGAGGGAGTTTAGTTTAAGAGTATGTGGGGGAAGGTAGAATCCGTGCTGAATAGTTTTCATCTTGTCTAGATGAGTCTGGTGAAAGGAGACAGGGATAAGATTCTTATGATTGAATAGTGAATAACTGTTATCATGACTAATTGTGATTGTCACAACTGTAAAGGTAGAAGTTTTGTAACAGAGATGTGTGTGTGGTGGTGGGGGGGGTGGGAGTAGTTAATCTTACAGCCCAGGAGCAGAGGACCCTGAGACCATCAAGGGAGAAGAGCATGAGCGGAAGGTGGGACCCTAACCAGAGAAGCAGCAACACCAGACATAGAGGCAGAAATGATGACATGGTGAGAGAGAGCAGCTGAGAACTCTAGACTTATGGGAAGAGAGGTGCTATGTGCTGGCAGCCAGAAGGCAGACTTGCGTAATGTACCCTTTGGTTATTTAAATGATTATATATTCCTGAGTGTTTTTGTGTATATCCAGAAACAAAAACAACAAAACACAGGAGGAATAGAAGCAAATACTGTTGAGTGATGATGCATGGAGGAGATTGTAATCATTGCAAAGAAATGGTCAGTGTTAAAACCGATGTTCTCCCATGTAAACTATCACTCAATTCACAATAAAAACTTCTAAAAAACTGAAATGAAATGCATAAAGATTGACATCCAAGGCATCAGTGAGCTGAAAGTGCACCTGACCCAAGCCATGGTATTTTCAGTGGCCTTATATGCTTGTGAAAGATGGACAACAAATAAGGAAGACCTTACAAGAATAGATGCATTTGAATTACGGTGCTGGCAAAGAATATTGAAAGTACCATGGAATGCCAGAGAACAAACTAATCTGTCTTTGAAGATGTACAGCCAGAATGCTCCTTTGAAGTGAGGATGGTAAGGCTTTATCTCTCATACTTTGGACACGTTGTCAGAAAGGACGAGTCTTTAGAGAAGGACATCATGCTCGGAAAAGTGAGGGTCATAGGAAAAAGGAAGACCCCAAGTGAGATGGATTTATACTATGGCAGAAACAGTGGGCTCAAACCTAATAAACCTAGTTATAAGAATGGTTCACTATGAGTCACAACCAACTCAACAGCACCTAACAACAATGACCTACTCATTTGGTGGGGGGTTTTAAAGACTATAAAGGAGCTCTGGTAGCGTAGTGGTTACAAATCGGGCTGCAAACCACAAGGTCAGCAGTTCGAAACTACCAGCTGCTCCAAGGGAGAAAGATGAGGCTTTCTGCTTCCATAAAGATTTATAGCCTCGCTTCATGCAGAGCCTCTGCAATACATAAAACTATAGGTAGAAACCGGAACCACATCCAGATCTCCAGAGATGAGAAATCTCCACTTGAAAGAATGAGCAGACCAGCCTGGAGCGGCTAGAAGAATAAAAGATACTTCTTGAAAGAAAGACCTGCAGGAAAAATGGAGGCAGATGGACTGTTACTACAAGAACAAACAAATCGCTTCCCTAGGAAACATCAAGGCAAGTGGCCAGGTCCTCTCAACGCAGACCCCCTTCCAAGA